GGGGGGGGGGGGGGGGGGGGGGGGGTGGGGGGGGGGGGGGCGGTGGACGAGGAGTGTTGGGCAGCCTCCGCGCCAACCCCAAGGAAAAGGCCCGTTCTTTCAAACGACTTCACAATAACGGCATCGGTCGGTCACTTTGTCTGGTAAAGCCAAGCCATAGGGATTTCAAATGCACAGCATATCTTTAATTTATATTTTAGCACGATATGCAAAACACTTTCTGGAATAACCCTGGATGAAACTTAATAACAATGTTTAAAAATTGATGGGGTTATAAATCCACTTCATGAATCTCAGTCAAATAGTTAACGTAATTGATAACGTGTATCCAGTGGATACTGATTTACACTGAATCTCATATCTTCTGTAAGCTTTTTCCTTACAATAATTATAAATATGACTGAATGTAAACTTACTTGGCTATCTAAAACCATATGCAGCTTTAAAACGTGTGCATGTAATAAATATCATATATTTCTCAGTTCCTAAATTTAATTTCTATTACAATATTATGTTAGAGTACTATGTCTTCATCTTTCGGGCTACTGGTTTGACAAACAGAGGTCATTTTCTGGACGCACTATGTTTTCCACGAAATGTCCAAATTTTTATGTAATCTGGTATTATGGTAGAATCTAGATTAGAGTTCAAACCGCGGCATTGTAGATGGACCAATCTGGTTTTTGCTTGCCAGTAGATGGAAATCGTGCTTGACAGTATGTGCGGTTGTTAAGTACACAAAAATGAAAGCACGCATCGCTTCACCAGATGCCCGGACCAAAGCTGGACACAACCCAACTACACGAATTGCATATTCTAGGAACCATCTGCTGGATTGGAATAGCCTGTTCAGTAAAAGACTATGACATCTAGCACTTTGAAGCTTTACTGATGATCTAGAAAACATCAAGTGCCCTTAAGACATTCAACACCAGGAATAGTTGACTGTTACACAGGGAGAGTGCTGGAAACGGTCTTGGTCACGGCAGATGAGAACAGCTTGGTGAAAAACTTCATGCCTGTAGAACCACCAGGAATATAGCTGACAAAGTACCTAGTAAAAACAAGGTATACAGTGACAAATGAGGGCACTGTGAACAACCCATCAACCACGACATCCCATCATCTTAAAGGTGAATGTTCTTTAAACTAAACTTGAAGTACCCCTGAATGTTCATATAAAATGGAGACATTAATCTGCTTAATATTGGGGTTTTTACCCATCAGTTACAAAATTTCTCAGTGTTACAACTGAAGTTAGTATTAGATATGGGTAAACAAGTAATTTAAAGACTTAAAGAATTTAAACTCACCATATAAGAGCTAGAATCTGTACTACAGCACAAACTGCTGTTAGAACTGTGCTTTTCACCTTAAAAGAATAAACCAAATATTAGTCGTACATGTAGCTCCAGGATCCTAAATTTCCAGATTAACAACTGCATTACTTTAAATGATACCCTGTGAGCAGACGCCCCTCGATCTTCCTGGATAAATTGGGACTTCCTGACTAATCTAGGTAGATCGAAGGGCCTCCAGAGGCAAATCCAGACCTTCAGATAAGGGGAGAGGGGAGTCTGGTCATCCAGACCCTGAGATGGGGGGGGGGAATCTCAAAAAAAAATTTTTTTTCAGCCTTTCCGGCCTTGGTTTGGTTAGGGTACTCAAATGAAGGACGGGTGCCTTAAATCCAGGCCTTTGCCACCTGCTCCTTTGGTTATCCTGCCTACTATTGTAAAATATTTTGACTAGGCAATCTGATAGAGACCGTTGAGTGGCAATTCCTGACAAGCCAGACATAAGCCATTATCCAACAAAGAGGACAAGCCCCATAAAACTGATTAAACAGTGGAAGATAGTAGGGAAATGACGGGAATTTGGCGGGAGGGGGGGAGCAACAGCCTTCTTCCAAGTGCTAACATACTAAGAAATGTGGTCAATGACAAGTTAGATTTATTGTTAATAAGCAGCCAGCAACAGTATTCTTGGAAATTTAAATACACTTACAATCATGGCCATGTAGAGTGTAGCAAACATTGAACCAAAGTATGCAGCTGTAAAAGGAAGCCTTCCAAATGAACATAAATGTTTTGCATGATTAACTGGTCCCCAAAGAAATGAAAAACTGGAAGAGAACAGACAGAAATTCATGGTATAATTGATATAAAAACAGGGTTCGTACTCTTTTGAGCTCTCCAAATTCCATGACTTTCCCTGACTTTTTCAAGTTTTCCATGACCTTAGGTTTAGTTGTCACTTTCAAAAACTTTCACAATTTTCCTAGTTTGGGGGTATTTTTTTACTTAAGCAGTTCAACAGACACAAACTCTGGTGTCCACCACAATGTGTGCTGTTTGCGCTGTATAATAAAATTAATCCTCTCTATCTTACATTGTCCTTGCTTTGTCATCTGCAGCAACTAAACTACCAAACAAAACTTTAATTTTCCATGACTTTCAAGGACCGACAATTAAATTCCATGACTTTCCAGGCCTGGAAAATGAAACTCTTAAATTCCCTGCCTTTCCAGGTTTTCCATGACCAGTACAAATCCTGAACGCAATAATGAATTAAAAAATAACACACTTGTCAATAATAATATTATAATATTGAGCACTCAACAATAAGAAAACACTGTTAGTTAATTGTTTATTGCATTGGGGCAAGATTATTTAAAATTTCCTGATATTCCTGAAACTGTCCATGCCCTCACATACACTGTGAGGAGGGGGGGGGGGGGTTATCTCCCCAACGGACCCCACTGGAGTTTTCAATACAAAATGTTACTTTGTACTCTTAAGAACGGACTATTTTCACTAAAAGGGCTTTATGTATCTGTTATTTATTTATTTATTGTTAGTTGAATAGTCATAGAAGTAACCAGTACCTTTTTTATATCATCCACATTTTACGAGTATAAGCGTGTTGAGTTATTAATAATTAAATTACTGTATTTACACATTCACTTTACCTTCCTATTGTAAACAAACTTCCCATTGTGTAAAGAAGCACAAACTTCCGGGCCTTTAACAGCATGAAAGGTGCTATAAAGCCAGCCTAGAAAAGGCAGTTTAAGAAAGTGAGAAGACAATGGCCCAACTTCCACTTACAGATACTCAAATTATACCGATCACTGTATATATACTATGATCACTGGGGCGATGTTATGATTTGTGTTTTGATTTGTTTCGATAAACAAAAGTGCGCCTTCTCTTTGGTTGAAAAGTGTCGCGTGACCAGTTGGCCCTGTCCTTAAATTTAGGGATATTCCAGACTGTATATGTAACAACTCTGTATGTTAAGTGCATGTCTCCAGATTTGAATTAAACCTTTACGGCAAATACTGTACATGTGCATGATAATTTATGTGCATATGTAAGGGAATCACATGACAATGTTCGGAATATAATGAGAACAACTACTTGTAGTATTTAAAAAGAAAGAGAGCAAGTACACCCAAATTTTTCAGGCATTAAATGTGAATAATGGAAAACAGCTGTGTTAGCAACCTGAATTTTCAACCTGTTGTAAGGATGAATTGTTTTTGTTTTTGAGGATGTATCAGTTATGACCAAGTTTCACATAAAGTATATTTGAACAACAGAAATGACACTATTCAAATCAAGTGATCATTAAAAAATTACTTTATCTTACCATGACAAAACAGAAAATTCCCATTAACAAGCACATGAAAAATCCTGTGATTCTTTGAGTTCGAGTCTGCAGCCAAGACGGTGTAAGCGGTTAGTATCACAAACAACATGTAAACAAACAAGCCAATGTACAATTAGACAGCAGCATGAGCGGGTTGGTCAGATGACAAAAAAAAAAGGTAAAAAAAACACATAAAGTCTGAGAATAGAAGCCCTGAAACCCCACCATCTTTGCTGTGACGGAACATATGATGTACGATGTCACAGTAAAAAGCAAGAAGGATACACCACTGAAACTCCTGTACCTGGAAATGCTGTTACAGTGCTCACTTTTCATATAAAAAGAATTTATTAAAATTAAACAAGGTTTAACAACATTTTATTTGAAAATGCTAACATTTTAGGTTGGTCAAAAATGGAGAAAAAAGGGGATGGCACGAGATCATTTGGAATTGCTTTGGCACAAATCCTGTATCATAGTAATAAGAACAACATTGGCCCATTTGGTGCCAGTTGGCTGTTCACATTCAACAACATTATTTTGGTATTCTCATTTCTATACCTGGTCATACATGGTACAGTTGAAAGGGTCTGGAAGAGGTTTTGCATGATCCATGAATTGACCAGTAAGAGAGTGTGAATCGAGAAAACTCATGAAATAAAGTCATGATTCAGGAATGATATATTCACTGTGACGATGGTGATCCTCTGACATTGTACTCTGTGAATCACGATTTCTACCAATAAAACAGATGTAAGTGTCGTGATGAGGGTTCTAAGTTAAAACCTTTTAAAGTGAAAACTTACAGAGCTTTGATTTTATACTTTATAGCTTTAAAATTCATTGCCAGTCAACTTTGTAGTCGTTAAACAAAAAGCAGAGAATCACCCGTTTGATCACCGAATATATATTTTTTGATTCATTTCGATCACAGGGTCATTTAAGAATAACTCTTGCCTGAGTAGCCCAGCAAACACTAAGAATCATTGATGGACTTGATCAGTTCGTCACCTAATCACGTGATTCATGAAATGACTCTAACGTGGTTCATGAATGTAGAGAAATTTAACCCGTGATTCAAGATTTCAGACCTTGAGTTGAACCTCTCCTCAAAGGCCACCTTGGGGACAAAAGAAAGTGGTTGTTGTAGAGAGGTGGCCATTGCAGAGGTTTAAACAAGACCAAATGTATGGAATGTCTGCCAAAAAGGTTCCCATTGTAGAGAGGTGGTCGTTAGGTCAACTGTATTACCAAACAACACAATTACAACTAAATTAATCTGATTTTACTTATTTTAATAGGAAATTTAATACAAATTATGCATCAGTCAATTCCAGCGGCACCCGCCCCCCCCCCCCCCGGGGGGGGCCCCCGGGTATTTTTTGGGGGGGGATCGCCTGGTCGGGGGCCCAAATTGGTCCCCCGTTTTAACAAAAATTCCCCTCAAATTAATGTCCTGTTCTGTAAATGGGCCACGTTTTTTT